CAAAAGCACATTGATGGATATCTTTATTTTATTCTGCAGAAATTGAAGACAGCAAACTTTTAGCTTTGAATTACTTCCCAAAGAAATACCAACATTATAACTTTGTAATGGGGAAAAGAAAAAAGGCATTTTGCAAAGTCCTTAAGCAGCATATTTTAATAAATTACAAATGCTAGTACTCTATTAATAAAAAAATTTTAATGAAATATTGTTAGTTTGACTAGATATTTAGAATGAAAACTGAAAATTGGGAGTAAAAACACATAATTTTATAACACATCAAAACAAAGGCTCATCTAGTTTTCATTTTGCATAGTTTTTAACACAAAAGACCTTACTTATATCTGAGCATTTCTAAACATAGCAACAGAGCTATATTCAGTCTTATGCAAAAGGCAATTTCCTTTCCTGATAGTATCAGTCTTTTACCATAGCACATCCTAAATTTAAAACCAAATGGAATTAAATCATACCCTGTTGCAAATTAATGTAAATTAATCATACCTGCAGCCCTGCTCTATTAACAACAATCATCTGTAAATTATTCTTAATGAACATAAGATATGTGAAAGCAAAACAGAAAAAGAATAATCGAAGGCTATATACAAACATGTAAAGCATATAGTATGTGTGCTATTTAGTTATGAATTAAGCTTATTCGTTATTAAATGGAAGATATCTAATACTCTCTTTTTCATGGGATTGGCTGGGCTTTTAGGACATCTTTGGTCCTTAAAACAGAAGGAAATCATGAATCCAGGGAGATTTCATGAATTTGAGTCAGGAAAGTTAATACAGTGAAGGTCACAGTTAAGGAGACCTTCCCAGAGTTGGGAGGTCAAAGGTTCTGACCTGGCACAACCCAAAGGCATACTGGTTCCGCCTAAACTTGAAGGATTTAGCTCTGATTATCCCAAGAGAAAGAAAAAGGCAACACTTTTCCAAGGAAGGGACAAATATGGGACCAGTGGGTTTCCAGCTCCATCCCCACAAACACCTTTAAGGAGGATTACAGAGCAAACCACTGCAGGCCACAGCACTGACGGAGAGAGTAACAGGAGGCATTGAAGGGAGAAAACCCTCCACACCAAGGGGCTCAAGACAAGTCCATGTACTTCTCCTTATCCTACTCAATTCATTGCTGTCCCAATTCACAGGCTCCTTAAATGTTGCTGTGACAAAATTCTGACCTTGGTTTTCTTTTTTCTTTTTGTTCTATCCATGTGTCTCAAAAAGGGCACAACTGGCATTTGGGTGGGATGATTCATTCTTTTTGGGCCAATCCTACCAACTGTAGGGTGTCTAGTATCTTTGGACTCCACCTACTAATGCCAGGAGAGACCCCAATCACTGTGGCAGCCAAAAACACATTTCCAAATGTCCCTAGGAGGCAAATAGAGCCACTACCACTTAAAAGCCCAGTCTACAAGCTCTAGTATCTCATTTAATCCCACAGAGTGGACAAACACCTATATGACTCAAATCCACATCTCCAGGCAAGATTTGTCTGGCATTCTAATCTGTTTTCTCCTTTCAGTTAGACACCTGCTCCTCATGCTCCACAGTCACTTTACACTTGCCGAAAGCTGAATCCCTTATCTTCCCCACTAAGTGCCAACCTATTTCTCTCATATCCTGGCTAATACAACCAGCATCCACAGTCAACCAGGCAGAAACTTGGGATACAAACAAAACTTCCTTTCTCACCAAGTTCTCAAGACTATGCTTTAAATGTCCTTCGAGTCCTGCCTCTCAGGACCCCTATCAGAGTCGCATCATCTCGGTTGGATTACTGCAATGGCCTCAAATCTTCCACCATGGTCAGCTCCTTTCTAATGCAAACACCAAGCTATCACCTCCCAGGGCACCACATCAGTCCCCTATTTAATTGCTCAGTATTTCCACATAGCCTTCAGGAAACCCTGATAAACTCCTCAGCAGGGCTCACAAAAGCCTTCACCTCCTGCTCCCATTGTCACTTTTCATTTTCACCAGGGTTCCCTTAAGCCCATCACTACAGCCTGACCCAAACCTGCCCATTTCAGAGTAAGAGCCATGCTCTAAGATGACTGCTTGCACACACTGAAGATGTTCCACTGGGTGGGTGCCACTTGCTGAAGTGCTAGACTAGAATCCAGGCATCTTGCAGAATAGGAGGTTCCCTAAGTGTTGAATGAAATACGCAATTCTTTATAAAGAAGAAAATAATTTAGTAAATATGCCACTAATAAACACTGCCCCCCCCAATCAGAATGATATTATCCTGTCTGTTTTCATATAACCTCATCTTAACACAGAAGGGTTTCTAAATATTATTTATTGGCAAACAATAAAGAATCTGAGCAACTATAAAGGGGACAAGACATTACATTGTTAGACTGAATGTCGAGCACGTTCTGACCTCAACGTACATTAAATGTCCCATCACCTCCAGCTACAATTTTTCATTAAGTAAAAAGATGAGGATTGTCTTGATTAAGCCACACCTAACAATACCATGCTTACTCAGTAATGACTAATTCAAGCCCTGATAATTTGCTTCATTCAAGATTTTAGTTTACATTGTCATATCACTGGAAACGCTTTCACAGGTTACACATTAGTTTTCATTTGAGAGTCACTCTTGGAGACCAAACGCTGGAAGTTCAGCAAAGCAAATCAGCAGTACATAATGAAATGGGCTCTGCAATTCTTCAGAGCACTATGAGTTTTAAAAAGGCCATATCTGAAATGAGTGTTTCAACCTAAATCAAATAAACTATTGTCATGCAAGTTACGATGATACGGACATAGGATTGTCACGTAGAAGCTGAACATTCTTAGTTGAAATATATTATAGCAGAGATCCAATACCACATAGGCAGCTATCCAAATTAAAACAGTGCATTTCAAGTAAAAACAGAACAAAAATGTAAGGATAAGAATATTTCTTTTATCTTTTAATGGAGGTTGAGAAGATTCTGAGTTTTGTTTTAAAAATAAAAAATAAACAAAAATGGCCAAAATAGCCTCTCACTATAAGCCTCTATAGAAATGAAAACTTTTTAGTAAAATCATAAAAGATTTAAATTTTATAAATGATTGAAATTAAGATAATAAAAGTTTAATCTGTAATTTAAATAAAATGACTTATTTTAAGGTTAACCAGTTATGGATTTCTTTATCCCCATTGTATAGATAAGGAATAAGCTGGAGAGGTTTAGCAACCTGCCCAAAGTTAACCAACTACCAGAAGGAGAAGCAGCTGCTGGAGCCCAGGCTCCTTCTGAGCCACGCTGACATAGGAGCAGAGCTGGGGAGGTCAGGACTCTGGACCCAGCTGTTAACAATTGTTACTTCACAGTCAGAACTAAAAGCTTTCTCTGGAGTCACTTACACACCATGAGAAGCTGACTGACAACCACATGATTCAAAACACAATTCCTTCAAGGAATAAAAACATGCCACCAGGGTTTTCAGGAAACACATCTAATTAAAATCATGAATCACATTTTACATTATCAAAATAGTAATAATTCTTCATAGCAATGTATAAAACATGGAGGTTTGTTTTCATAGTTCAACCACAATATGAATTAAGATGAAAGGGTCTCATTTTGAAATCTGAAGACCTTTCAAACAAGGACACCCCATCGAAGGCTCTTTGTTCTGCTGTCTTTGCTGAAGGAAGAAAAGAGATTTCCATTTCTCTTACCAAGACTGGCAAGACTGGTACCAAAAGGACCAATGGATGGTACACAAGCAAGAATCCAGCTTCTAAAAGAGGACTTCACCACGAGCACACACAGGCCCACTGTTCCCTGAGGCCCAGCAGGTCCCCCAAACACATCTTTTTAAGTAACCACGTCAATAACAAGACTGCAAGGATCTTTTCTTGGGGCAGAATCTGGCTTTTGAAATTGTGCCACTGTCATGAAATATTTGGAGATCTCATTGATCTGACCATGAATTCCTTATCTCTGAAGTAGCCCCAATTCATATGCTAACTTCAGCATGGATGTTCAATCATGTCATTCAAAAGGAAAATCTACCTGTACACAGAGATGGAGCCAACAGACACAAACATGTTCTCGTCACTGTCAACTTGGCTCTTTCCCTGAGATGAACAAGCAATGTCCAAATCACAAGGAATACTCACTCCAGGGGCAGATCTAGTTTTTGTGAACCCTAAAGCCTGTACAACGTGTAGAACCTCTAAGAAAGAAATTAGGCACCAAAGCATATCCTGAAAAGGTACCCTTGCAAGGGAGGAGCCTTGAAGCTTAAGTTTCTTTAGTTATGCAGTAAACCCACCTTTGAGCAAACCATTTAAAAGTGCCAGTATTCAATCCATTAGACCCGTCAAAATAGAAACTGTGGAAGACTCACTTTACAACTCTGCTGTCACACAGCCCCAGCACAAGCTGTGTATTTTACTTAAAAGAATATAAGCTCACCACTGGAATACAAACTGAGCTTCCTGCACTCATTAAAAATAATAACAAGCACTCTTCTACAGTGCTTACAGAATGTTAAATAGGGAAAACTTCTACCATCATTATGGCCACCATAACTGTGTGTTTAAAGTAATATTTACATAGATGAACCAAGAAAAGAATATAAAAACATAAACAAAAACAATTCCTGTACTTTAATGGTATGATTGTGAGTTACTTTTTTCCTCCCAACTAAATGTTGTTATTTTATTGGCATAATTAAAAAGGAAGAAGTAAAGGGAAAGAGTGAGGCAAAGTGGGGGAGAGGGAAGGAATGAATTAGCACATAGGGATTATAACAGGGAGAGAATACAGACATAACGTCTGCTGCGACAGCTGCACACTTAGCATCTGTCTGTACGTCAACATGAAACATTATCTAAAATGTATTTCAGGGAATAACGATAAAGTTTACTGAACGAATGAGAGACTTCATACCTCTAAATGCCTTCCTTCTGAGATAACACAGGTGCTTGTGGGCACTAATGTCTCAGCACGACCAAAGGCGAACTGAGGTGAACTTACTTTTTGCTTGCCTCGCAGACATCTGTAATATTGGAGAAAAGATGGTGACTCTCTGTTTTGGTCATTGTATCGCTCAGTTCTTTGGAATTTTTAAACATTCGTATCAAGATCTCCAAACTGAGTAAATATGAATGTTCAGAGGATATGACCTCAAAGATAGCCTGGTAAGAAAGAAAAAGAAACGTATGGTTAATTGTTTTAACTGGAGAACTAAATAGCACTCTCGTAATTCTGCTTTAAGAATGACATAATATCTTGAAAAGTGTAAAAAGATAAGCATTAAGAAAACTGCATCACTAAACTACTGTCTTTATATAAGGCACATGCACCCAAATCTCAAGAAACAGAGTCACTGCCCAGAGTGTAAAAGGGAAAAAGCATTTGAATGACTGGAGATTGAGTCTTGAGGTCATGCTTTGCCAAGGGCTGGAATCTATGGAAGGAAGCTAGGGCATGTCATAAAATATCAGTGTGACATTAATTAACCTTTGGGGTCATCTCATTCAGCCTTGCTTACAAAGCAGGCTGCTTTGAGGCAGCAAGGATTTATGGACATCACTTGGGATTCAGAGAAAATTTCTCACAAATACATTTGTTTACTCCCCTTTAATGTGGATCCATTCTTCCCCTATGTTTTAATCCAACTAATTTGCAGTCAATAACAGCAAATATTCTGGGTGTCTGAAAAGAGCATGACTGTACCTACCCTCAAAAGGTTCTTATCAGCCACAGGAATTCTTTTACATAAACTCATACAATTGAAAGTAATTCTGTCCATTCAATAAGCCACCCTCTCTGCTCTCATCAGTGTCTCAAGAAGCAGCAAAGGACCCTCTGCAGAAATTCTTGGTGTCAGGCACACAGTGGTTTACCAGATAAGGGTTCATTAATGATAAAACACCAACCCACATATGTGAACAGACACCAACGCCCTGAGTAAGGAATTCATCTAGCTTCTTAACAAAGTCAACTTCAGATCCACCAAGAATGGCAAAGCAGGGAGAATTCCTCCGCACGGAGGAGTGCTGAACATCCTTGCAGGCTTGAGACTGACATTCCTCCCAGAGACCCCCCAGTGACACCGCCATCTTCACCTTGGCCTCTACGGCTCCTCCCAGCAAGCTCTTGGCCCAGAAGGCACAGAGGAGCCCTCCCTAAGTCCCAGTGCTAGTTAATCAGCACTAATTAATTAACAATATAACAACAGTGCTATGGCTGAGGCTTGGTGGGAGCAGGCAGGCACAGGCAGGTAGACACCTAGCTGCTGATGGTGAGCCATATTTTATAATTCAGGTTAATGACACTAGTCTCTATGCTCCCCTCCTTTTTTAGCATCCATAAGCTTTTAGGGAAGTCTTACTTAGATGTGCTGGTCTAGCCTCAGATATGCCCCAGGGACTTAAGTGATGTAGTAAATGAGTAAAGAGTAAGAACATTAAGAGTCTCACTTAACCTGTACCTTGTCTAATTCTAATCAAGCAATATAATTATCCTCAGGAAATGTTAACTCAAACTAAAGAAAATTGTCACTTCCTGACCAAAAATAATGGATTTCAGGTTGCTGATGGATAAGGTGCCTTGGAACAACTTAAAATATTTTCAAAAGCTAAGGCTTTCATAATCAAATCCAAAATACTAAAATTCAAACAAAAAGATATGATAAACTATGTAGACTAGATCACATGAAAAGATGAGTAAGTAGTAGCTTATTATAATAGGTTTGATGTAATAACTACTAAAAAGACCCACAAAGAGCCATCAAGTACAAAGTAAACCAGGTTATACCCGATAAAAATTGCTACATGGGAATAGAAAGTAAAGTTAGATTTGCTGCTGTCATTACATGTTTATAACTCAAACTTGAATAGTATTTTCAAGATATAAGGCAAATAGAATAGATTCAAATAAAAAAAGGTTTAAAAGAGCAGAAATGTTAAAATGGGATTAGGTCCCTGAAGAAGCTCTTGAATTTGTCTACGTGGAAAGAGAAACATCATTTATGTCACAATATTAACAATAAAGAAAAAAAACCTATCACCTACTGTTCATCACTTAGATAATATAATTCTTTTTAAGTGTGGTATTTATAGAATGGAATACTATACAGTGGTTTGAATGATCTAGATTAATAAGCATTAACATCATGGATAAATCTCAAAAACAATGCAGAATGTAAAAGTAACCAAAAACATGTTCAGAATCGAATCACCTATCTACATATTAACACATACACACACACACACACACACACACAACTATATGTATATAAATGCATGTAATACATGATTTGAAAACAGATTAGATGGATACACATCAATTCATAATTACAGTCGCCTCTGAGGAGGAGAAAAAAGGAATGGGATTAAGAAGGAGAATGTAGGAATTCTACTTTATTGAAGTCTTATTTTCTTTAAAAGATAGGAAGAAAAAATAATAAATGTAACATATATATTTGTTAATTCTCAGTGATACGTACATCAATGTTATATAGTATTCTTTTTTATACCTAAAAAACAAATCAGCACTATAATATGCCCTTGTATTTTTGTGTTACTCCATGTCATTAAAATAAAAGTACTTTGAGAACTATACAATATTACTACAGTGATCACATATATCTGATCACTGTCAAATATGGATACATTTTCATGGGGAAACACTGAGCAAGTGTACACAGGAGGCTGAGAGTTCCACCCGGGCCCTGTGGAACTCTAAGGCATCTGCTCAATAGAAGACATACCTCTTGTCTCTTCCTTTCCTCCTGGCTAACTGTCTGCGATAATCCATTTCTTTTCACCTAGGGGAAAAAGCAAAATAAAGTTGAGTTCATTTACTCTACCAATTTCTTTACATGCAAGGCATAACTCTGATCTTCCAAACTGAATTAAAAGAAATTATTCAAAATTAGTTGAATTCAAACTAATCTACCAAATCCAAATGAAAAAATCTAATAATAAAGAAAATGAAGTCACTGCTCTGAAAGGTTACTGTCCATGACTGAACCTTGAAAGAATAATTTCAACACTATCTTTCACAAAGACTCCATGAAATATTAATGCTCTTTATAAAAACCCAGTCAAACAAGACAACAGCGCCCCCTCTGCCCCAAGTTCAGCAATCTATTCAGCATATCGAAAACTGACAAGTAAGGATGTCGACCTGACATTATTTGGAGAAGCAACAGTACCTGCAACAACCAAGAACACCAGCACCACACTTGGAGTAACACTGTTGTATCGTTAGTCAAATCACTGCAACCCTATCCCAACTGCCACACATTTTTAGTGGATTGCTGCAGAGCCTATCTTAATTCAGTTCCTAAATGAAAGAGTAGAGGCAGAACTATGCAAGGCAGGACCTAGTGTCTCTTCTGGGATGCCAGGCACTGAGTCTGGCACATGAAAGGCATTCCTGTTTTTGTCAAAGATTAAATTACCAAAAGATAGGGCATACGTAAAGTACCTGCCAATTAAATCACATGCTTAACAGAAAGACAAACAGCTGGAAAGGAGAGTGCCCTCCCCTCGTGTGAGAAATTAATAGCAATAAAATATAATACAAGTTTTCAAACAATTTTGTTGTCATACTTCCTAAAAACAAATTTAAAAACCATGTTGTTCCCCTAGACCCATTTCTCAAATTGGTCACCTTATGTTTAAAGAATTAAAAAGATATCTTTTCCTGCTAATTGTAAATCTAGGTATTTTAAACATGTTACTATATTCTTTTAAATGTATTCAATGGCATGTAAAAGCCAAATAAGTTGATGTCCACCATTACCCATTTAAAACTAAACAAGCTTTCCTTAACAGGTGAAGATTTCACATTATTCTTCTTTTTCCTTGAAATCACATTTCGATGTCAATTTCCCCCCACATTTCCTAATGTAATATAATTCTATATAGTAATATGATAATATAATATCAAAATATATAATTATATATATGATATAGCAACATAATATAAATTGGGGTACCTTGTTTAGTCACCCTAGCATATTTTGATGCAAAAATATGTTTTTAAATTTAATTTTCTAAATTTCCTGTGAAAACTGAGCTTTAAGTATAAGAGACTTTCTTAAATTATATCATCACCCAAATATCATTAGTAACCTATGTCCAAAACAACACAATTACTTCCAATTTTAATGCATCAAGTCCTAAAAGTAAAATTTTACTGAGAAAGCAGCTCTTAGTAATGTGAAGGGCTTATGGTGGCTTCATTAAAGGAGGCTATGCTGAAACCATATTTCAGGTCGACCTGCATTTTTCTTGTGCCCCAGTGGTTTGACACCTTGGTACAGGCAACATAGATTTGAGATGCACAAGGGAGATGTCTTTCTTTAGTAAATTGCAGAAGGGCAATTTTGAAAGGGAAGATTCGGAAAACACAAACCTTGGTGAAACCCTGTTACTACACATGCAGCCTCAGTTTTAGAAAGGAGAATATCCCAGGAGATGAGGATCTGGAAAATGATATCTTTGAAACTATCCTTTATCCACCTCACACAGTCTTCATGAATCCCAGGGATGTGAGGCATATCCTAGTATGAAGATGGCTGGGGGACGGGGCTCCACTCAGTATTGTCATGGAAATGAAGACAATTACATGTTACTGTCTTTACCCTGATTTGGGGAAAAGGTTAGAATAGTATACCAACAAAAGGTAGTAGTTATCCTCCCTTTGACACTGAATCTTCATAGACTCTAGGAAATCGATACTGTTCTTATCCCTATTTCATCAGTTCATAGATGGGGATAAGAATGGAGGCGTAGGATCTAAGATCACACTAACTGATCACAAGGCCAGGATCTGCATCCATGCCAACCCCAGGGCTCTTACTCATATTGTATGGGTTAGGAACCCCTGCTCCCTTGAGAGGCACCCTGTTTCCAGGGTTGGGCGATTATCACTGAGATAATGGCAGGTCTGTACCAAGTCTCCACATGTTCTTTTTCATCTACATATATCTTGGAAGGTTCTTAGCTTTTCTCACAATCCTGGCCCTGGGTCAGCCTGTCAGCAAGAATTCATGGCTGAAAATGACTTCTTCATACATTTTAACAGGAGAGGAGACTGGCCGAAAGAAGGAAACTGTTCAGAGCTGCTCCCCCGTGGTTAACCCCAGGCAGGAATTTCACAGGGTTTCCTGCCTGACACAAAGTTCTGGCAGATTGATACGCAGGCACCATGCCCACAATCTCTGCAGGTGAGGTCACCAGAAAGAATTCCCACCCCGGTATCTCCATCTAAAACTACTAATGAGTTCACACCCAGATACTTTAAGGGGAAGAGAGTGAAACATGTGGGTTTAGAGACCACCACAGATGGCAGCCAGTTTACTGAGAGATTAAGAATACTTTACCCTATCAAAAAAATATATATATATATATCCCCAGCTAAAATAGTTGCTCTTTTGACGAGGAAGAGAAGGTAGTTTCGAAAAAGGCAAAGAGCCAATGTACAGAAGTATCATCTTACACAAACAGTGGTAAAACAGTCCTCTACCAAAAAGTCATCAGGAAGAAAACAGCAGCCCATACAAACTACGGTGACACAAAGAAAAAAGATTCCAGGAAGTGCTCTTGGGTCATAATTAAGAAAAATGAAGTGCAACACACTGGAGGAGCCTGAAAGTTTGCTCTGGAGTTTGACAAGCCAGGTCCTCCTGGATGGCTGCCAGGCCACTGCCCCAGGGCCTGTCCTCCTGTCTCAACCCTTCTCCACCCTGCACAGGACGGGCTGGACAGCTTCCTCCTCCAGAGCCAAGAGGAATATTCTGTCCAGCTGAGATCTCTTCCCACATTCAACTGTGAATTAAGTAGGAGCTGAAAGCAGGTGCCTGGAGGCAGAAAGTCATGAGCAGACAAGGTGCTTTCAGAGACTGAGGAGACTGGAGAGAAGCAGCCAGAGAAATTAAGGAAGAAATCGATAGAAAAAGAGCTGAAAAACACAGGCAAAGGCAGGGAAGGGAAAATCAGAGAGAACGAAAACACTGGGGCAAAATATCAAGCGGAAAGAAAAAGGAAGGAGGGAGGAGAGGAAGGGGAAGGAAAGAAGGAGAAAGAACACATGCCAAGGTTTTAGCAGTAAATACTACTGGATATTCTCTGATTCAAAACCAGTCACCTTATCAGTAAACTTAAGGAAAATCACTGGTAGGCCCAGGCTTTTTTTTTTTTTTTTTTGCATGAAAAATTTATGTGTATAAAGCAATGTTTTACCTGTAGTTTTAAAACAGACATAGTCTTTTGCAGTTTGCACATTCCTGCTAAGAAATCTTAGATAATATCAAATTTATCACATTTCTTCAAGTGTTCCTCAGGTGTGAGGGAAAAAAAGGCAATGCAGAAGCCTCTAAAACCAAATTCCTATTTTGCTATCCAAAATGAAAAGACTTCAAATTGCACAGGCTCCTTCTATATTTTTCAAATAGATATTTCGTATGGTCCGTCCAGCCGAATATAAATGGGAACACCCAGATGGCCAAAGCAGCATAGTTTTAAAGGTCTCTTCTCACCTCACTTGCATTTTCTTATTCCTCACTGTTTAAAATTTTTTATTTGATTATAACATTAATAAGCAGAATTGCAAAAGTAGTTTAATGAAACAGTAAGAACTGGAGTCGATTTGGAGTTCTTAACTTTGTATAATCTAACCAAGTCACAGAACTGTTCAAATCTTGCCATGGCAGATTCTACACTGTAAGGAGAAAGTAGGAATGCATATCAATATCTCCAATGTTTGAAGTGGAAAAGACTTAATTCAAATATAACAACAGAACTGTAGCTCAAGACTACAATTCTGACATGCTAAAAACATGAATATACATATGTAGCTTGTCAAGAAGGTGAGTATAGAGAACTTACTAAGATTGTAACAGTTTTATATTCATAATCATAAATTATAGTTTTGCTGTTGTAATCAGTATTGAATATTTCACCCATGATCTTTTAACTGATTTATTTTGAATGCCCAAACAAGACAGAGATTAACAACTGGCTAAAACAATAAAGGGCAGTACAAGATACTTCATCTATGGATATGATATTGTCTAGTTAGATCCCAAATGTAGTTTTTATAATTTATAAAAGGGTAAGTTCCCTAAAATATTGACCCGAAAGTTAATTACCACATACTCCATGTAAAATTCATGCTGGGTTCCTTCTTTTTTTAATTTTAATTTTTAACTGAAGTATAGTTGACATGACATACAATATTATATTAGTTTCAGCTGTGCAACATAGTGATTTGACATTTATATACATTACAAAATGCTCACCATGGTAAATGTATTTCCATCTGTCATCATAGAAAGTTATTACAATATTAATGACTATATTCCCTATGCTGTACTTTTCATCCCCATGACTTAAATGTTTTCTAACTGAAAGTTTGTACCTCTTTATCCCCTTCACCTATTTCACCATTCCTCCACCCACTCTCCTGTGGCACCTGGGTCCTTCCTGATACCTTGCAAGTCTGAGCTCCCATGTGACTATTTCAGGAAGGAACAGGAAGGCTTTCGACAGTAATTCCACTCCTGCACCCTCCATGGGTACAGGTGTTTGCACCTTGCAGAGATTTGTGTCAGGAAATCCATCAGCTCTGCTCTCTATTCCTTGGTCTTTGCCTCCACTGACTGGTATAGGTATAAACCATGTTTGCTAAGCCCCAAACAGAGACCCAGTATTACCATTTATACAGAATTTACCTACAGGTAGAGCTGGTCTTGTATCTATGGAAAGAGCCAAGATTAGTATTGCCAAGTCTCTTGGCCGACTAGGCATCATTTTC